TTTTGAGCAAGTGAGAAATGCCCAGCCCTAGAAGCACCAATGAACAGCTGCAGCCCCATGCGGTCATTGAACCAAATGAGTGTGATTCAAATAAGAAAGCTTTCAGCATTCATCTTCATCAGTCAAAACATGGGTCATGCTGCAGAAAAGTGAAGAGAATTATATTCTCTTTTCTTCTTGGAAACCTTTTGGTGTTACCACTCCTGGGTAAATACCTTGGTGTCACAGCTGAATCGTCATTGAGTGTTTTCTCAGTTGGCAACATCTGACCTGAGCTCTGGTTATAAGCTGTAATAAGGCAGAACACCATGTCTACTTTTCCTACAGGGTCTCGGTGGTAGCCTTGAGGTTTCTGTGCCCTGGCAGCATGTCTTGTGAAAGCACAGCACCTGCTGCAGGTGCGGCTGGATGGCAGCATCATGGAGGACACCGGTACCTGAGGCAGTCAGAGAAGGATTCCACGCCGAATTTGGAGATGCAGTAGCCGCCCCCATTGGCAGCCACTCTCCCCAGCACCGAAGCCACGTTGACCACCCGCCCGCGGCCACGCTTCAGCAGGGTCAGGAAGGCCAGCGTGGTCTCGATGACGCCCATCATGTTGACTCGCAGGGTGCTGTGGAAGTCCTCCATCTTCATCCACTCTGTAGGTCCCATGGGCACCGAGCGTCCTGCGTTGTTGACCAGGCCCCACAATCCTGTCAGAGACAGATGGACACAGGCTTGTTAGCCCTTGTGTCTGTGTGTGCATTAATAGTCTATGATCTACTTTGTCATTGGTAACACCAGAAGTGAAATGACACTAAATCAGCTATTTAGCCAACGCTCCTGGACAGTGAGTCATACAATTCATAGTGAGTAGCCACAGTGACTGAAAACAGGTCTGTAACTAAGACAAAGAGCTCAGGTAAAACAGCCAGCAAAGCTACTGGCTCTTCCAAGAGCAGGTGTGAATGTCGGTGCTACAGAGACATGGAGGGAAAGAGGGCCCCACAGCCACAGCACTCCATTATCTTCCTGAGACTCTCTCCCTGTTCTGTCTCTCTACCTGAAGAGAAACAGCATTCCTGCTGGATTCCCTCTGACTCTTCTCCCTCTCCAGCCCTGTGGTTCTCTTGCTGCACCTCTCTTTTCAGCTCCTTTCCTGTTTCTTTTTTATCTTTTCCTTTTGGCTTAAGTCCTTCTCCATTCTTTCTGTCCTTCTCTTCCCCATGCAGTCTTTGAATTACACTAGTGTGTGGTTCATCCATCCATCGATTTTCTAACTGCTTCTTCCAATTCAGGATGGTGGAGGAGCTGGAGCCTATCCCAGCAAGCAATGCGGTCAAGCCAGGGTACTTGGGTGCTGTACACCCTGGACAGGACACCAGTCCACTGCAGGGCACACACACTCACAGCAGGGCTCATTTTTACAGAAGCCAATTAAACTGCCAGCATGTCTATGGGCAGTGGGAGGAAACCCACGTGAACATGGGCAGAACATGCAAACTCCATGTGGATGACAACCCAGGAATTTAACCCAGGGCTCCCCACGAGGCAGCAGGGTGAACCAATAAGAAAGCACTCCTGGACAAAGAAAGTTCTTCTTCGCCCAAGGCACCTCACCTCTGTCCCCGACCTCTCCCTTCACCCACTCCACGGCCTTCTGCACGCTGGCGCTGTCGGTGACGTCCAGGAGGATGGTTTTGAGTTTGGGCCCTGTGGAGCGCTGCAGGTCATCCGCCCCCTTCTGCGTCAGGCAGCCCGCCAGCACGTGGAAGCCCCGCCGGTCCAGCCTCTTGCACAGCAGGTTCCCGAAGCCCGAGTCACAGCCAGTCACGAAGACGTACTTCTCTGGTATCCCGCTGATGACCAGGCTGTCCCGCCACAGCCACACCAGCGCCCACAGCGCTATCACCGCAGCTAGCCCGTACAGCCATATCATGGCTCCAGCACAGCCTGAAACGAGCACAGGTACTGCAGTCGAACTGAGCAGAACTTGCAGACTGCACTACCACTTGTGTCCATAGGAGGGAGACAGAGCCTTTACTGCAGTGATGCTTAATCCGTTTAATATCAGATTTGTCACCTAAACCTCAAATGTCCTGGAGCCCAGAATTGTGTAGCAGGAGTCATGAATGTCTGGCGTTTTATTCAAAGTTATGCTTGGTGTCCAAGGAAATTAGGTTATGGCATTTTGTGGTATTTTGTTAATATAAGGTTGTTCTTTTTGTGTTTTTTTTAGCTGTGAAAACGTTTAATTCTCAAACTATGTGCCCACTGTCTTGGAGAAAAGTGAGGGTGAATCTACAATGACGGCTGGGTACTGTATAGGCAAAAGAGACTTTACTTGTGCTTTTGCAGATATATCTTTGCATTGATCCAACAGTATTCCTCTCAAAGGATCCTAAAGCACTTCACATCTAGGAAAGTGACCCACTTCATGAACTCCGAAGTAGATCAGGTGGAGAACTAACGAGTGAGCTTCAGATCTCTATGTAGAATAAAAACAGGAGATCTGTGTTTTATTAAAGCATGAATCACCGGATTGCTTAAACCCAGAACTTGGTACTGGGCAGTTTTGTAAGCAACGTAAAGTGTATAAATTGAGCCGATTTTCTTAATTCCTGCATACAAAAGCTTTTTGTCTCTGCTGCCTGCACCAGTCTTCAGGGAAATCGGGAGGTGAGTAAAGGCTTTACGAAGCAGGCTTAGGCTCCGCTGCGAGATCAGGAGAGAATCCCTGGGTTAATACTCTTACAGCACAAAGACGTGTTCTCAGATAAAGTGGTGCTGGGGGGCTGTGCAAGTGAAAGTCACATGCTGCTGTTCAGGTGCCGTAATTTCCTCGTGTCTGAAAGTCGGTCACTGCTGTAGATTAGATCACACTCTGCCCGGACTACAACTCGAGAAACAGGTGCACGCACCTGTACTCCCAAACGCGCATGGACAGGCATGAATTTACAGAAGGACCCACACAAACACAAAAGTTGTGCCAAGGCAGCGCTAGAGCCTTATTTCTGTGTTCTGTTTAAATTATTGTGCCATTTGGGTGCATTAATGGATGCTCTGACTTTTGAGACTAGATTACACATAACTAAAGGAAATCTACTAACTCTAAATTTTTTATGTTGTTCAACACTGCAAATTAAGGGGCAAAAGATAAAATGACAAGGATAAGAACATGGAAAACAGCAGTCGAGCAGCTGAACTCCTGGTGTTCAAAAGCTCTTGGGCAGTGTATCCCCCAGGTATAACATTTGTGAATAAGATCGGTGTTCTGTGGTTGCTGTCCAAAAGAATGTGTCTGGTGCATAGATGCCACTTGTTTGAATTAGCCAGTTTTAAAATACACCTCTATACACAACAAGAGTCAAAACTGATGAAAATACCCTTTCCTTTAAAATTTAGTTTCCCATCTACCAGGCTTGTGGCTGGTTCAAACGATTGGTTTGAATGAGGTGAGGAAATATAGGAATAATAACACCTGAAGAAGGCTCCACGGCTGAAACGTTGTGTTTTTTTCTTTCTTCTCTTTTCAGCATGAAATAAACCTATTACTTGTTCTAGGAATAACAACGTTAACTATGTTTTTATGTTGGCCTCAGGAGTGGTCTAACCGGTAAAGGTGCTCGCCCGAGTGAGGTGTCACAGGTTCGGACCTCTGCCATGTCACTGGCTGACTGTAACTCTGATTCTTCAGGTGCTAGAGCATGATTGACTGAGGACTGTAGAGGTTAAGATGGACATAAGTCATCTAGGGCTCTCTCGACAACAGTGTGACAATTGTGACCTCCCTGACATATGTGCAGTCAGTAAGGGGCGTGTCTCCTCTCTTTGATCGGTGGGAACTTGTTTTAAAAATCCTCAGTCTCCTTTCCAATAAACTTTGTCATAAAGCATGATGCTTCGGGCCCTACAGGTTAAGAAACCACAATATCACAAGCTGTGATGAATACAACATTGCTCAGCCAATTATCTAGAATGTATGTGATTAAATTTGCCTATGATGCAGGTCTCCTGAGTTTTCTGCTGCTCATGTTATTTTGTATAAGGGCAGTTGGTACTTTTCTGTGACTTGCATTAGAGATGTAGATCTGAGACAGGTGCTGAGTCACAGGAACGACACAAGACAGTGGTGAAAACTCTCCGCGAGTGGCTGTCCTGTTTTTGTCTTCCCTTCTCATATCACACCGGTACTGACTCTACCTGTGGGTTTTGTGTCCTGTCCTCACAATCTGCCTTCTCATCCATCCTAATGAACCCGTCTCCTTCAGCTGTTCTACCGACACGCTCTGTTTCCCTGTTGTTAATTTGTTTAACTGATGCCATTATTTGAGTTCAAGAAGAGAAACCGGAGAATCAAAACAGCGTTGTTGCATATTTTGCCAGACGCAGAGCGTAGGTTGGTATAAACAGAATGCGACAACGCAAGGTGCAGCGATTAAGGCAGGAAATCGTGGTGAAACCTGAACAGACAGGTCCAGAGGAGGTGCTGGCTGATGGTCAGACTGTGCAGTTTAGTGAAGGGAGTCTAGTTCTTCCACAGGGGCTGGAGGGAGGAGAACAAGCAGACAAGCGACAGGAGAGGGAAGAGCAGGAACAGCTAGGCAGTCAGCAAAAGACAAGTGGGATAACGAGGGACAGGGGCTGAGACAGAGCAGGCTGAGAGCACACATAGGTGGGCATCAAACCAGGTAATCAACGTCATTTCACCTGTTCAAGTACACAGGGCTTCAACATACAAAAACACCTGCAGCGGCACTGCTGTGGTATGACTTTTTCTGAAGCCATCTGTGTGTCAGTGTTTCTCCCTGTCCACACGTAGCACCAAACTGCCAAAGCGCTTTGGACCATAGTTTTTCAGACAGAAAGGTAACAAGGTTTTCTTTTCAAGGTTAAAGTTTTTTCATGCGCTGTGTTATCCTGAAAGAATTAAGTGTCAATTTAAAGCACTTTTCCTTTTGCATACACAAAAAAGTTTAATGTGTCAATGTCTGCTGAGACAATACTGCAATATTAAAGTTTCCACATTGTCAGTCCAGCCCCTCGACCTGAAGTAAACAAAGCTGGTAGCAGATAATAGGAATGGTGTGTAATTTTTCATTTATTTTGAAAGAGGTGTTTACCACAGCTGAGTCACACTTTAAATGGCATATTTAGGATTACTTAAATTATTACTGTTTTTGCTTTTAATATTCAGAGAATAGAGGTTTGATGTATTTAATTTGATTACTGCGAAGGTGTCATTTTAATTGCATATAGTAACAAAGCAATACAGCAGGCAGCTTCGTAATTACTCCATTTTCCAAAGGAAAGAATACAGTGACCAGGAACGTGTTATTTGGTTAGTGTTATGAAAGCAAGCATACATGGCAGGGAATGAGCAAGTAAGTGAGAAAAGAGAGGGATCCTACCTTTTCTTTTCCTGGAGGTGTACAAGAGAAGACCTGGTGGCACAACTCGTTTTGCCCTCCTGTCCCCGTCTGACTGCTTCCCTCTCTCAGTCTCTGTCACTCCACAGTGTGCAGTGTGAGTCTTGGGGAAAAGTGCTTTATCCTTTAAGACAGTTCCTGTGGAGGGGGGTGGGGTGGGGAGAGGAATAAACAATCCTTTCTGCTCGCTGGAAAATAACTGCAAGTGTTTCTGTGGATCTGGGGGAATTCTTAAATTCACGGTCAATTGAGGAAAATCATCATCAAGAGATCAGAGCAGATCAGGCGTTTTGCAGGCACGATCTCCTGCTCTTTCTATACAAAATGCTTTACTTTCCACGGATAACGTTTTTTTACCAAAATGTGGTGGCAAAAGAACTATTGATGGGAAAAAATAAACTTTCAGAACCCATACTTCAGTTTTTCAGCTAGCTTGAGAGCAGTCATGTGAACTTTTGACACTGTGAGGAGTGATGTGAATTGCATGAAATATTTTTCTATTTTTAAGGATATTAGGTTTTCCTTTCTAATTCACGCTTAATGTTATAACATTCAATTCAAATATTTACTCATCAGCTCTTGGCTCATAAACATGTACTGTATGTTCCCAAATCTTGGGAACTGAGCAAAAGCCCTACTTCTCTATTAAGTGGTAACCATAAGATTGTAAAAATAAAGTTTTGAGTATTTGGGGTGTACAAATGTTCATCCACATCTGTTTAAATGCCTTTTAAAGAAGCAAGTGATCACCAGTCTCTCTAGACTCACTGTTGCCAATCCAGGAGTCTGTTCACTTGCATTTACTGACACCCCTTGACCTGGAGGTAGTACTGGGGGCTGGAGAGGCAGGTAACTCCATGTCTTCCACTGCTCTAAACCATGAGGCTTGGTTAAAGTTATTCCTGAATTATTAAATTGATTTCCAGCAGTCAGGTAACTTATTGAAGGATTGGATCAAAGTCATATAAAATAATTATTGGCCTAGTCTGATGAAATCTAAATGATAGCTAAGAGCTTTTGACATTTGTTTAATATTTACTTAACGCTATGCTAAAAAGTTAGCCAATTTATGTCTTTAGGCTTCTAGTATCTTATTGATCCAAGAAACTCATCCATCTGCTCCTTGTCTGCTTTAAGAAAATTGGCCCAGTAGCTCATTCCATACTCCCACAGCCCTTTGTGTGTCATCATCTTTCAGCACACCTCCCAGTAGTTTCCACTTGAGCCCTCTGGGTTACAGCTTTTTTTTCCCACCTTAGGACAGTGTTAAACCTCCTCTGTCACCTAATCTTTAGGATCTTTAGAAAGATGTGACTCAGATTTGCACTAAGTCCCCAAGTTTGCCTCTGGGGACTTAAATCACTCTTGGTGGACAGCGTAAGTGCAACACCACCTGTCCTTGAACGAGTGCATTCAGTCCCTGGAAGAGTGCCTGTGAACATCTGTTCTGTGATTGATGTTCAGGCTCAAGATGGACAGGCTGCTGTGATGTGTAGAGTACGATGGGCATGGGAAACCCACTGTTGTATATCCAATGCTTGTTTAGCATGTGCTTTATGGATCAGTGCCTCGGTCAGGGTTTCCCATTCTTGCCCCTATGGGAGCAGTGTTGGATACTTCTGAGTTTAACAGAAGACAATTAACAGTTTGTTCAGTTAAGCCTTTTGTAAAATGGAGGATTTTACAAGTGAATTCTTAGCTCAGTTAAGACCTCAATTTCAGCGAGTCGTAACAAAAACCCGAAGATGCTGAGGTGAGGACCGGGTTAAGTCCCTGAAAAAGGGCAGTGTTTGTCTGCCTGTCGTTGCTTAATTGAATGATAAAAACTCAATTCTATTGCAGTCCTGGAAATATAGCATCCATGCCTGTTGCAGTTATACTTGGGCCCAAATGATTAGAGGATGCTGATGGAAGTGCTACTTTAAATGTTATGTTTCCAAGCCTAATGAAAGAGAAGAAAGCTGCAAATAGGAATGCTGTGCCAGGGCCCACTTTACTATTGTAATGTAATGAGCTCTGTAGATGGTCACATGCTACAGTGCAATACAAATCCATTCAGTATTGGTGTTTGTTTTCTTTTGTAGAACTTGATCTAATCCATCTCTATGGCAAATCTATAGCTAGCCCTTTGACAATTAGGCTCAGAATTAGTAGATGACTCAAGATCTGGAATTTACAGAGCTGGAAAATCCGACCTCACAAACACAAAACCATTTAACATGTTTTAGATGTGACAGTCTGGTGGAGGGGAGGAAGGAGTACAGCTAACCAAATGTCACATCACAACAATCCCCCAGAGGTCTGTTCTGCTGCGTATAATCCATTAGCACTGCCAGAACTGTAACATTTTCAGTTTGAAATGGTCTGTGTGTATCATCACTGCAATGCACAGTGACATACATAAATCAAAAATGGTTTCACAAGGCAACATCTGTATTTAAAAAAAAAAATAATGTCCCATGATGATTTGCATTTTATTTTCTCATGGCAATCTCCCTCTTTGCCCTCCTTTTTAGTTATCCTGTGATTAGGTCAATAAAATGGACAATCTTTTGCTGTTTGTCTCATTAGTTCTTTTTCTCCGATATTATGTTTTAAATTACATGATTTTGAACTGTAAGCCTCTTTTCAGAGGAACTGTATTAATACTCATGTCTGAACCGACTGAACTTGTAGTGTAGTGGATTTCGGGCTCTGAAGGGCCTCTTCAGAATTTAAGCACTGTGCTAAAAGTCCCGAATTCATACTCGTGTCAGAGTTGCTTCCTTGTTCAAATCAGTACCACTGAATGTCTTTAGGGAGTATTGTTTTGCCACTGATTTCTATGTGCAAACTGGCCAGAGGAAGGAAGAGTTTAGAGGTGCTAAAACATTCTACAGCTGTGAAACCTAATGCAATAATCTTAAATCCACTGAATCCTGTTACTCTGAGAGATTCGACGGCAACCACCAACTACAGTCTAGAGTAGAGAATACTCCAAAACTATATAGCTTTGCTTCACTGGAGGTCCAAACATAAGTACCAACCTGTCACTCACGGAGGTATATGTAATATATAGCACAGTATCTATAAGTGCGTGCTTTGAAATCTGTATTTGTCAGTCAATTTCACAAATTCAAATTTCAGACAGCTGGTTACAAACAAAACTGTCCTCTACTTTTGAAATTAATTCCATCAAATCATTCAAAATGCAGAGATGGGACAGTGAGTGTTTCTAAAGCATGTGAAGTTTTTGTTCCTTGCTTCTGCATCTCGTGTTTTTTCAGGTTTGACTAAAATAGAGTTGGAGGCGACTGAGTGGTTCCAGATCCTTATCCTGTGTAGGAAAGGGCTAATCCAGGTGTTTATGGACTAGTGCCAGAGAAGGGTCTTAAAATTCTCCATCTAAGAAAGCTGCCCAGCATGCCAAGTGCAAATTCTTCATGCATCTTTTAAAGATGATAGTATAGTTTGATTTTGGAAAAAAAGCAAAAACTTGCACACGGAATGATAACCAGGTATGCTGTATAATTAAAGAGCAACCTTTAATCAGTAATGTTACAGACCAGCACTGCACACGCACCACATTTAGAAAACACCGCTCTTAAACCCTGGAAAAAAACCTTATCTGTACCTCAGAAACTAGAGTAATACAATCGGAATGTGTACCCGATATCCGCTGAGCCCAAATGCCATTTATGATTTCTAATTTCTGAAATAAAGAAAAAAGATTGAACAAAAACTTACAGGTAGGCTATAGAACAAAACAGAACCATCAGGCTGTTTTGTGCTATATTCTGTTTACATGAAACATGACATTATTGCAGAAAGTTGTTTTTTTGTAGCACAGCATCGTACCTCATTGCATTTTTGTCCTTTGGACCAAAAACTAGTCAGCGACCACAAAAACATCATATATTACGAAGAGCTGCTTTTTTCCTGTTGATGGTGTGAGCTTCAGTAATCCTATGAAAATGGATTATCCTAAACCTGAAGCATCAGGAAAAGGGATCTGGCTGGTTTTGGTAGGGGGGTAGGGAGTCAAGAGACCGATAACTAGCCAAGAAATCCTCTTTCTCTGCAGTGGCAAATTCCTCAAAGCCTCATCTGTTCCGGGGCAGGGGCTAACAGTGAAGCTGTACAGGGAGCAGTGCTAATCCCAATGTAAAAATCTTTTTTCATCCTCAGAAGAATTTCATCCCTATAGTTTCATTCTGATTTTTGTTTTCACGCCTGGGAAAGAGGTTTTTTGTATTACAAACATCATCACATGGCTGGGGCTTTGGGCAATTCCCACCGGCTACACCCACACCTCTTGGAAAGGGCAGGCACATTAGCCTTGAATGGTGTTAACGAGCGAGTCCTGAAGGAGCTGTTGTAAATCATTTCAGTGGTGGAAGACAGGAACAGAAAAAATGTCAGCATTCGTGTTGAGTAATCCATAAGCAACAAGGGTTTTATCCAAATAAATCTAAAAATATTTTGTTGCCACTAAGTTAGGTTAACACCTAATTCCTGAACTACAATGATGCAGATCCTAACTTAGAGGTACGATGCTAAGACTTGGATGCAATAGGTGGAACAGAATAAGAAACACTTGTGTCTTGTACATGTGAACACGATCTGAATCAGCAGTTTGATTACATGTACTACACTAGCACAGCGACCCAGGATAAGAGACGTGTCCTACATGTGTTACTTGTCCTGTCTCAAATGTTTTTTTAATGTGCACAGTTTGGGCTTGTTCATTTCACAGGCACTGTATGAAGTAAATCTCTTGTAACAAGATTTAGATAGCAAAACCAGCCTTAAGTGAACTTCAGCGTTTTTGTTATGTAACTAAATACAAGATCACTTCTTATGCAACCTCATCTGGCACAATGTCCAAAGGATGTAGTTTGCAATTGGGCAGCCTCACTGTAACTCAGCCCTATTGCCACGGCCCTTTCTCATGCCTTTGGCCTGATCTCCTTGCCACCAATTGAGCGTACAGCTGGAGTAGAGACAGCTCAGTGCTGCAATGTAAAATACGCTCCATCTGTGGTCTTTCCCTTTCTGGAGTGGTGTCATTTTTAAGTCAGGATGAGCGGTTCGATTGACGTTTTAAGACAATTTTTCCCTTCCAGTGATTTGAGTTTTTTTTTTGTGTGGTCGCTTACCCAGGTTACAGTGAACTTGTCTCAAGAAATAGTTTCACCGAATAGACGTGTACTAAACATTACAACCATCTTTTAAAGATTAAATAACATTGAAATAATAATAATGGTTTAGTACAGAATCAATCCTCAATTCAAGACAAGAGTACAGTGAGTACTTTGCATAACAACTGAAGTAAAACTCAGACTTCATCTGAGTCTTAAGGCTTCTGTGCCCCCAGGCTGCGACAGCTGGAGTCTGGTATTTACCAACTTTGTAGACTCTTATGGAACTGGCTGTTTTTTATGGCAGTTCAGTAGATCAGCCTATCCATTCATGGCTGAGTCACTGCTGTCCTCAGTGCTGGTGGCAGCTGGGCAGACCAGGCCTGATGCTCTGGACTGGCTCTGTCCTTAAAGCCAAGTTAGCGCGTGTCTTTAAGAGGTAGGCTGCAGGTGGCCTTTGTGCACGTACTCCAGCGCCGTGGCGATTGTCCGCATGTCCATCTCAATACTGCGGGCCCAGTTCTCCACATCCCCAATCTCCTGCAGAAGATGACACGTATGAATCACACATGCTGGGGACCCAGAAAATCAACAAAACAAAACAAATGCCCTGCAATTTCTCCTACCTGTAGAGCTTACACTTGCTCCTTTGCACTGAGAACTGCAGGAATATTTGGAGTTCTACGTGCTAAAATAATTGATAGCAGACCTTCCTGAACTTCCTCACCATGTTTGTAAAATACAACTGGATACTCTTTATCAGTTTAGCTGTACCGATACACACAATATTAGGTAACTGTCACACAGAAGCAGATTTCAGGTATTGGGTAACTTTGATGTACTGCATCCTGCTGTTGTGTCAGTTTTGATATTTTAAAGTAATACAGCGGGGTTACCGACATGAAAAGTATTATTTGTTAAGGGAGTATCACTACTTGCACTGTGGAAAGAGCTCATTATTAATGTTTCACTGCAGTTACCTTGCTTGCACAGTAGAGGGCAGCATTGTCATGGATTTCCAATGCAGACCAATGAACTCCAGGGGTCTGGTTCAATTCAAAGTTGAACAGCTTGCCAAGACCCCTTTAAAAAGCTACATACTGGTCCTTGTGAATTAGATTTATTGACTTTCAATATAAATGTTCTAAAAAGAAAAAAACAATGAAAATGCTAAACCACTTCATTATTATAATGTGAAAAGGTCAAAATTGTCATTTTTACACTTACTTGCTTCTTTGCCAACAATTCAGTTTTGGTTTTGAAAATTGACAAAGCGCAGATTAATGTGCTTAAATAAAGCAGTATGAAGCATGAGAGCCTTTAATTTTGTAATTTGCAAGTCTTAAATATTTTGAGAGGAATGACAGCTCCACGTGTGATTTAACATTTTCAGTTCCTTTTAAAAGATCACTTTATTAGCCATATACAATTTCTTGCATTAGGAATTTGTCTTTTCGCATACCCCAGCTTGCTCTCCATGAGACACACAGACAGGGAGAGAAGCTTGGGGTCAGAGTGCAGGGTCAGCCATTTATACGGGACCCCTGGAGCAGTTGGGGTTAAGGGCCTTGCTCAGGGGCCCAACGGAGTAGGATTTCTCTGCCAGCCACGGGATTTGAACCGGCAACCTTCCAGACACAGGCACAGATCCTTAGCCACAGAGCCACTGCTCCGCCCTTTTCATACTTGCAGACAGCTTGACAATAGCAACTTTGCTATTTCCCAGTGGCAACAAAACAAAATGTTTTCATATGGTGGTACCGTGAAAAGGCATCAAAATATAAAAACAGCTTCTCTTTGGGTCTGGCCACCCCAGAAGAGTGGCTGACACTTTGCGGAAGCAGCCTGCACCTTGCTTGTAAGGCATTCTGCTTACCGGTATCCAAAAACATGCCATTGGGATTTGCCATTCAGAAAAGAGTGGCACCAAAGTAAAGAGGGTGGCATTTGAAGTGTCCAGGACAGGTGCTCTAATTTCGTAGTTGCATGGCTCAGCGTGGAGCGTGACAATACTGCATTGAGAGATTGGGTTACAAAGCAAGATCCTTCAAGATGCATTTGTGTAGCACATAACCCACAGGCATGCATTGCAATACAGCTTCAAAGAAGCCTAATTTCTTTGTGCATTATCAGCCTATACAATGGAATCATCTAACATTCCTTCCAATAAGAGTGTTAACAATGGGCCTTGTCAGCTCTGCTATAATTGGGTTCCTACAACACACTGCGGTCATGTGTTTTTAAGGCTGCATTAAATAAGACTGTTCCATATTTACAATGACATACAATAAGTCATACAAAAGGTTGGAATGCATCTTAATCTGTAGACTTAACTTTCAATCTTAATTTTAAAATGTTCTCAAATTAGTTCCACGCCTACTAATGTACAGTAATGATAATAATTACAGTAATAATTATCTGAAACAATTTCTGCTCAGTTGTTCTCCCTACACTAGTCTAGGCCTACTAGCATATACTTGTATTTTATTGTATTAAATTGTGCATTTCCTTCAGATTTTTGCTTTTTTTAGATAATGTGCCATCAAAGGAACTATAGTATAAAATTTTATGATACTGTATATACAAGTCTAAAATGACTTAATATAAAGAATTCTGACCCACAGTTACATACAACAAATAAAACCTGAATTTTCCCAGAATAACATGGAAAGTAAATGTGGAAGTTTCTTTTAGCTTTCTAAGAAAAAGTTAACCAACACCTCAAAATGTAAACCACACAGACACAAGGGAAATAAACAAATTGTCAGTGAAAAAACACATTCATTTCAACTTGGAAATCTAGAATTAGCCTCAGATATAGTGTAACATTTCTCCCCAGTAGTCAGTTTGCCAGGGGCTTTTTAAAAAAGAAGTTCTCAGGCTGCTGGAAATGAAAATTCCTAAGATGCACATAATTTTCATTGAGGCCAAACTGAAAGTATACTGTCAAAACAAAAACACTACGTATATGCATATTATCTGGAACTGCAAATTTTCAGTACATCTGAAAAGTAAGCGGTGTTTCACCATCTAAATTTTAGAGGAGTATAATTCTCAGTCACTGTGCTATACACAACAGAACAGAAAGTCCAGCAGGTTTTGTTAGCCCAGAAAGGTTGTTTGCAGCTAATATAGGTGAACTAATAGGTGTGTTTGTCCCATCGGCCTAGCCCATCGTGTCTAGCCCATCAGAACTCACCTACTAATTAAGGTGTTATAAATTGTGATTTTTATTTAGTCTAACATGGGTAAGATATACAATATATCTTGAGGATTATTACAAGATCTGCTCTACAGTGTAACTTAAGTTTACACAGGACTTCCAAGGCTTCCAGTTCTGTCTCATTCTGTTTCTCTCAGTCCCTTGTCTTCTGCCCACTCCGGGTACACAAAGCTCTCACCTTCAGGGCCTGGTTGAAGCCCTCCACCATACTAATCCACTGGGCTGTCTGCTTGGCAAACTGACTGGCCTGGATTTGAAGCGTCTTCACCTCATGGTCCAGTTTGCGCTGGTTGACATACGCCTGGGCCACCCTGCAACCATACAGTACAAAGAAAATGAGCAATCATAGAAGTTGCTCTTACTCTTCTAACTATGCATCGAGTTAACTCAGGGTGTCCCTTTAACCTATACTTCCAGTGGACCGTCCCATATGAACACACTAAATAAAACAGCAGCAGGTTGGAGTAGTAGTCCTGAACTTGTAATTGGAAGGTTGCATGTTTGAGTCTTGGGTGGAGCACCCAAGGGGTATACCCTTGAGCAAGGTACTGTACTTCAGTCAGATTGCTGGATGAAATACCCAGCTATATAAACAGTTATAAACGTAAACTCTTTGAATAACAATGTCAGACAAATTAATAATGAAGTTACTGATTCATAGTTATATTTTAGATAGCTCAAGAACACTGCAGTGGATCTGGGATGGACTGATGCTCTTTTCAGCTGCAGTTCTAGGAGGTTTTAAAATACATAATCATATTTCTAAGTACATATCCCTTCCTAAAAAATCAATTACATCAGTGCAGGAGGTACATAAACCACACATCATTAAAGTAAACAATTTTACAGAAATTGGTATCAATACTGTAGATAAGGTTCTCTCTCTTATCACTAGTAAATTCCAGCAGTGTGATTAGTGTGACAGAAACATAGATAGGTCCAGCAGTACAGGGAAGGAGGTGCCTGACGATCACTGAGTACTAATCACAGCACTTTGCAGCGTGAAGTCAGCCTCCCTCCAGAGACGGCAATCAATTAGACAATCAATACAGTCTAAGGCTGTACAGTAAACTAATGATTTAATCACTGTGCTAAACAGAGGGCCGGGAAGATTTCCAGTAATACAGGCATAAGCTTGGTTTATTGGAATCCATAATGATCAAGCTGTACAGCATCACATTCCTCTTCTTTTCTATCAGACATAAAATCTATTGTAAAAACAAGTGTCCAAGATTCAAAGATTTCCAGACACAAAAGTTTCCGTTTCCCAAGAACTGATGGCAATGTTAAGGACGGCCTAATTAATTCAATCCCCTGTCTGCTCCTCTGCATACACACACCACCCCCACATTTGTATTTCTGTGATAAGTGGCAAATGGGAAAGATAAAAACAAAGGGGCAGGAATAGAGTGCTCCCTTCAGGTTCTGCATTTCCCTGCATCTTAGATGTAATAAATATTGTCGTAAGGTTTTTTTGTATTTGGAATGGAACCATAAGGAACAACAAAACATGACAATTTAATTTCAAATAACAACCAATTAGTGTGATTTTCAAAACTACTAATAATAGATGAATGTGAGATTGTGAATATATTATGGGAGGCAGGGAGAAAAGGCTATTCGTCACTGATGAGTTATTGAGGAACAATACCTCATGACCCCCACCCTGAACATATACTATTTGTCTAGAACAAATACTAGACACTTTTTTCTACTGACGTATTGAGATTAGTGCTCTCAACATAAAATCCTTCTGGGCTATGATATATCACAATTCGTGGGTCCAGGGTATACAGTTACATTCCTATAAAGTCTCCCATATTAGCAAAATGAGTCCCAGAGGACTTGTCAGTGTGACCCCTGTTCATATATTGACATAAGCTATTTTATGATCAGCTTCATAATCATTCTTAAAAGAGCATTTTATCAGCCATTTTCACCCCCCTTAAGAAGTCCCAGAATCCCTCAGGCACACAAGCAACAACTGGTTTGGTGAGATCTATACCCAACTGACAGTGCTGGTAGCTGAATGTATCCATTAAAATATCAGTTCTAAATTTAGCATGCTTGTTTGTGCTCTGTGTGACATTTATAACAATTTGATATTGCCATCAAAATTGTTTTTGCAAATTCTGCCCAGTGACACTCAAAGTTGACAGCGTTCTGCATGGAGAAGTGCACATCTTGAAAAACTGGATGCTGGTTGTGCATGAGGAATTCTGGGACTTGCGGGGGGGGTTTGTTTTGAGGCCTCTTTCAAGTTACAGCTGGATAAAAGGCTTATATATCAATCAGCTACCTAATCTATATGGAAAATTACCAGAATAAAGAAGAGTGTCACTTCACAATATATGCAATCAGATTGAGATCACTGGATTTTGTGGATGCCCTGTAGTCATTCACTAGTAAAAATAACACGGGCAGAGGTGTCTTTACCAGATCCCTGTCATCTGTTTCCCATTGTACTGCATTTGTATTTTATGGAGTACATCAGCTTATTCCCCTGCCTTTGAATGATCTCTTAGCATGAGACACGCTGGCTGTGTGGGAAATGCATTTCCTCCCAGGGACCACTGCAAGTGCCGCATCCAACAATAATAAAGAAAAACTCTTGCTTCTAGCCGCAGCTATGAATGTATCCTCATTAAGGAATACAACCCATATATCAAGATCTTTTGATTCTGTTAAAATAAAAAATACATCCTATTTATTTTAACGTTTGCTTGTTTTGGACATCTACTGTTATGTATTACAGAAGATGTAGCAAATAACTCCATGAAGGCTTAAAAGCTTTAAAAAGCTCACTGCTGTCTGGACTCTGAAACTTAACAGTGCTACTGAAAATAAAATAATGTTGTCCAAAACTCTTGCATGTCTGCAAAGATTAATTAAAGGGTAAAGGGGAGCAAGGTATGCAGCCAAGCTGTCAAACCCTGGCTTTTTCAAGAAACAGCTAACTGGGCCAGGTCTCGTTTGTTCATCTTGCTAGGTTCTCATGACTGATCCGAAATGAGTTCAAGCGTTGTTCACGCTGTTCCGTGCCGTGTGCGCTTCCTTAATCTCTCGCTTTGTTGACAGAAGAGCTCAGCTGCTGCTAATTCGGGCATGTTGCTAAATTTGTTGTTGAGCTCTGAGATGGGAGGGGTCTGGGAGGGAGGGGGCAGTGGGTGTGGGGGCATCAAGCAAGGACAACAGCTGAGGAAACTTTCTACCTTCACAGCTGGACAGCCCACCCCTGTTTCTCATGCCCCCAGCCCGCAGGGACCTGGACTGGACAGGCAGAGCTGGGCAGGGCCCTCTGGAGGCTGGGGGGTCAGTGGGTCGCTAGTGTTGCCCGAGGAAGGGGAGGGCCTCTCACTGGATTTCCACTTTTCTGGTCTAGATGTACATCCAAGCTGAAAAGCATTTCCTATTTTCCTTACTGTCCCCCACATTGCAATGTCCTGCCTTGGTAAAAAGATGCTTCAGGGACAGGCAGCAGACAAACCGCTTGTCCCCGAGGAACTTTCTTCACTATTTATATTCTGTAACAATGTAACAATTTCGAAATGTTCCAAGAAAAAAAATTCTAAATGCAACGTTAGATGTTGTAGATAAGCAAAAGACACGAACGTGCGTGTATTCAGCTGTGAATGAGAAGATATGTTGCATTTCAGTGGCATCATCAATGATGCCAGGCCATACTTATTTGCTGAACATTTGTACAGAACAGTTCTCCCCAGGAAACTGTATCAAGTGCTGGCCAGGAGTCGCTAGGACTCAATCCCAGCGACAGGTTCCCTGTGGAGCTCACACACAACCACAGCTTACCCCACATTGAGGTGGTCTACCAGGGCTTCGGTCAAACAGGTGGCTGCTGCGATCGCTTCACGCCTGCGCCTCTCTGCAACGGAAAGCACTCTCAGCTCGGACACTGCACTCTGACAGGACAATCCAGTTACACTCCACTCTATATAAAAAGCTCCCCCCCCAAAAAAACCAAAACAAACACCAATATGATCTGAACTAAGGCACGTTACTTTGACCCTATAGTGTCTGTATGTTGGACTTGCAGGGACCAAGACATAAAGACCCCAGCCCAGCCCAGGATAACACACGGTTTCTTCAAAATACGTATTGTTCCAAACTCCATTTTGGCGATTTTCACTATAGTTGTCTATATATTTTTTTTTTTGCTATTCACAGACAGTTCTACACACCTATAATACATTGTGGCTCTGTCACTGAACAATCAGTCGCCAGCAGCCATATCACCCTGCAACTCACAACTAGCAACCCACTGACGCTAAGCAGGTGTGAGCCTGGTCAGTACCTGGATGGGAGACCTCCTGGGAAAAAACTAAGGTTGCTGCTGGAAGAGGTGTTAGTGGGGCCAGCAGGGGGCGCTCACCCCGTGGTCCATGTGGGTCCTAATGCCCCAGTATAGTGACAGGGACACTATACTGTAAACAGGCGCCGTCCTTCAGATGAGACGTAAAACCGAGGTCCTGACTCTCTGTGGTCATTATCCCAGGGCATTTCTCGAAAAGAGTAGGGGTGTAACCCTGGCCCGTCCTGGCCACATTTCCCAATGGCCCTTACCAATCATGGCCTCCTTATAATCCCCATCTATGAATTGGCTTCATTACTCTGCTCTCCTCCCCACTAATAGCTGGTGTGTGGGGAGCGTTCTGGCACAATACGGCTGCCGTCGCATCATCCAGGTGGATGCTGCACACTGGTGGTGGTGGAGGGGAGTCCCCATTACCTGTAAAGCGCTTTGAGTGGAGTGTCCAGAAAAGCGCTATATAAGTGTAAGCAATTATTATTATTAATCAAACGGGTGCCCAGGACGACGAACGATTCCAAACATTTTACACTCCATACATACAGATAGCCAAAATTAGTAATGAATAGCTCTGATGCATCCTTTACCCACTAATGTGTCTTGAAATCGTATTAGTGTTTACAGCAGTAAATTGTAAATGAGAATTTGTTCTCAGTTGACGTAACAGGTAAAAATAAAATATATACAAACGAAATGAACACTATCGTGGCAGAATGTATCGGTAACGTAATTCAATTTATTTGATAGAAACCGGGACGGTCAAAAATGCAAAAATCGACTACACTTAAAACTTCTGGCGCGGCAGGAACTGCCCATTATTTAAAAAGCGATTCTGTTTGCCATAATATACTTCCTGCAACAATGTTAAAACAAGATAGACTACCAATCTTCCAGTTGCATTTCGAGTTAGATAGTGAGAAACCAATCGCGACTGAGGTAGGCGGGAGGAAGATTAGGAAGTCCCTGTGGTGCAATACGCGGCAACGTCTCGATGTGAGCCTCGGCGGTCCGAGACCCTTTCCTCAGCGGCCTCAACTACTTGAGCGGCCGGTTCTTCCGTGAACTGCAGGCCTCTGGGTCGAAAATAAATTTTAAAAAATCGGTTTTTATTTCATTAAAAAATTACCTTGTAGCTCTTTCCTCTCATTCTGCTTTGCTTGGTGTTCTTTTAGGAGGCGAGAAAGCATGTCTAAGGTTTTTTCAAAATATCTTCTTTGACGGTTTCACGTTTGTATATTTTTTTCCGTGAGCTGAAGCCGCATCAGATGTTGGCAGTCGGCTTCCTGCGCGTCACAGCTGCTGGAGTGATTCTCCAGCCAAACACCGCCAAGGCTGCAACTGAGACGCGATTAGTCGAGATGTGTGTTGTATATGTCGGTTTTCTGATTTTATTGTGTATTTTTATTATGTGTTATGCAAGTAAGGAATCGCGTTTTAACAGCACAGACGATGAAAGCCCGAATTCTATTTTGCATGTATTTAAAAAATCCGATTTAAAATATTGACAAAAAAAAAAGATAAAGCTATCAGCCAAAGAATGGACTTCCATGGATTCAAGAAGGCATGTCAAATATTTACCATGATTCAATTCAAGTGTCAAGTTCAAGACTCATTTATTTATGTATGTTTTTGTTTCCTAGATATACAACATGTGGTGTTTGTTTAATTCCTACAGTTCACGGATCTGGGACAGTTAGAGGAGGTATGCTGTGTTAAAAAGTTTTTTTTTCTGTTTATTTTCCCACAGCCCTCTTTTTTTTATCATCATTATTATTCAGCTGGTGCGTTTACATCCCTGCTGTTTCCAGATTGGCCACAGTGCTAAACACCCTGAAGGAGTTCTTGAGAATAGAACCGTGGCGTCTATTTTTCTCTGCACCTCCCAGAACCCCCCTTTGGGGAGTTGTAAATGGTCTATGTCTTGTTCTCGTGTCTAATTGGAGTACTGATTCAATAGAATTCTATTTTATTTGTGTGTGAATGCGTGTTTCTTTTTGGCACATCTTTTCCACACTCTTCCAGACCTGGGCTTTTTCTGCAGCTAGGAAGTTAGACTGCTGTTAACATACAAGTTCCCCCAATGGTGTTGATTTTCAAAGCACTGGCTCAGATCGTCTGTGCTTCCCCGTCCTCTACGGTGTGTCATTCACCGCATAATCATTTTGGGAGGGCTCCACGTGATTCTCTGGTGGCGTTTCCCACGCAGCCCACTGAAGACACAGCTGCTGCAGACTGGCCTTCCCAGGGCTGTGTGAAAGAAAACGGAGCCTGTAGCTGTGCAACTACAGTAAGACGCACTGCACAGAACAGAGAAGACACAGACACATCTGTGTGCAGTGGGGCACCTTGGCCATATGCATCCTGCAAAGCCTGATATATGTAACTGGGATGTGGAAGTCCATCCATCCATTCGTCCATGTTTTAAGTGCATCTTTTAATTCGGCCTGGCAGAGCCGAGGGACAAACACAGACACTCACACCAGGGCCAATTTCCCCAGAAGCCAATTCACCTGCCAGCATGTCTTTGGATGTTAATAAAACCAGAGTAGTCTGCAGTAGGGTTCTCATCAGTGTCTTCAGGGGCTTTAGTTGCACCATGTATATAAGGAAATGTGCTATAGAAAAGAGTAGGCAAGGCAGTCCTGTTTCAGGAATAGGCTACTTTTGCTCTTCTCTGCAAGTGTCAGAGATCATGGTACATTTTAATTACTGATTGTAGGCAGGTGGGTCCATTAAACCAGTAGTTTTATCACCCTGCAACTCACAACTGGCAGCCCACTGAAGCTCAGCACGTGTGAGCCTGGCCAGTACCCAGAAGAAAGACCTTCTGGGAAAGCTAAGGTTGCTGCCAGAAGAGATGTTAGAGGGGCCAGTAGGGGGCGCTCACCCTGCAGTCCGTGTGGATCCTAATGCTCCAGGATAGGGACGGGGACACTATACTGTAAAAAAAAAAAGGTGCTGTCCTTTGGATGAGATGTAAAACCGAGGTCCTGACTCTGGTCATTAAAAATCCCAGGGTGGTTTTCGAAAAGAGTAGGGGTGTTA